TTACAATAAAAATTGAAAGTATCAATTTATGGTATGGACAAAACTTAGTTTAATAAATATATATGAAAAAGATAATTCATAATCATTTTTTACAAAATAAAAAGGAGATAGATAAGAAAATAAACAAGTCTTAAGTTCTGTAAACATACTCTGAAAGTGAAGACAATTAAACTAGTAAAAATAGAACAATTGTCCTTCAAATAGTCTAGAGTTGCAATTGCATTAATCTTATGCTATATACACTATTTTATTTAGCAGACTTTTATTTTAACAAGTAGCTATTTATTGATGGAATTTGAAAAAAAAAAAAAAAAAAAAAAAAAAAAAAAAAATACCAAAAGCATAATATCAAAAAATTTTAATTCATACAAAACACTGAACTGAACATTAGCATCATTTTTTTTTTTTTTTTTTTAATAATTCAATGTATTAAACCAGGTTTTAAAAGATGTTTGCTTAAAGCGATAAAGAGGACCAATCTTTAATAAGACAATATTTCTAAATGCAAAAATCTTTTCCAGACTTAAATTATTTGTAAATTATATACATTTTGTTCCTGCATTAAAGTGTTTATATATGAAAATTCTGGTTAATGTGAGGGATTAAGAAAACATCAAGAAAGCTGAAGTGCATAGACATTTCACACAATTATCAAATATCAAAGTGCACATGAAAAATTCTATTTTGTACTGGAATAAGACATTCAAATCCAGTCTAGAATTAGAGAGTTAACAGACATTTACTATATGTAGGCATCATTTCAAAATTGACCCAAGGAAAAATAGTTGGGAAAAACTGTTATAATCAACATCTTGTTAAAAAGAACTGTTCATGTTATTACCTATCACATTATCTCAGAGAAATTTGAACTTTTATGAGCAAACTGATAACAGTAATTTAACACATTCAGTGCTATGAGCATACTTGTCTTTATGAAAAAAAATTACATTGTCTGCTGTCAAAGCATGCATACATGTATGTATGTGTGTTCAAGATGTACTTACACTTCTTTACAAAATTTACATTACCTGATGTTCTGATACTAATGTTTTCAAGACACCATGAAATGACAGCCCCTAGTGTTTGTGGCATAAACTAATTATCCTTTTAAGCTATTTCCAAAACAGTATACAGATATAGAAGTGTGCAATGTGTTTTGCAATATATTTTTATTATATTGTATGCTAAAGGTGTCATTTAACTTAGATTGAATATCTAATCAAAAGCAAAATGACAGCACTCATGAGAAATCGTCATCAGAGTCTATACAGTTATTTCCAGTAAATGACATTTTCCTATTTCCCTTCCAAACTAAGCTGGCTCGGCAACAATGCCATAATGATGCAGTTGTGAAAAATATAAAAAGGAAAGTTAAATTCTAGCATTAAAATTTATAAATCAGCATAGTTTACAAATTATGTACTCTAAACTAATTTTAGTCGTCAAAGTAAAAACGAATCAATATTTATATATTCAGATTAGATTACAAGAACAATATGAAGACAGAATCCTTTAACCATTCCAGAATTCTTTTACAGTGGTATCTTCATCAAACAATACAGGATTTATTAGATTAAAAAATTAATATCAAGTGATGCTTCTTAAAGAGTGTACCAAAAAATGCAAAGTTCATTATAATTGTCAAGTGTGCATCAATTTTACATTAATCTAATGAAATAAATTTTATAATTTATTTTTTTTGTAAAAAGAAAAAGAAATATAAATTTTGAGGCATTGTCCTAATACTACTAAAATGATCAAGTGATTAAGTAAAGACCTAATTTATGCAAATTGGTACAATGAATAATGTCTAAATAAAAAAAACACAGAAAAAAAGCTAGCAAAAAAACAAAACCAAGAAATTCATTTTCATAAAATTGGTAAATATTTATATTTAGTTTAAACAAATTATAGAAAAAACACTGGAACTTGTATAAAAACATGGACAATATTTTTTAAGTGATATTGGATAGAATAAATTGATTACTTGAGTCTATCTCAAGTGATCCTAGCACAAGCAAAGTGAACTACAACAGCTGCAAAAAAATTATATTGATTAGTTGGCAGTATTTATAAGGAATTGTGTTTTGAGTTTTTACCAAAGTATATCTTATAGCTATATAAAAAGGTACATACCATGGTGCTGTTTAATAATTTGATCCCTTCTCAGTACTCCAATACTATAACAGGCAGTTAAATTAAGCTTAGCTTATTCAATTATGCATAGACAAATTGAAAACAGCTATCTAGAAAAAATATCTAAAACAACAGACTTCAAATAATTTACTTGGCCAGCAAATTTTTTTTTTAATGTACTACAAATGAAAAACTTTATACTCACCAGGTCATCTATCTTCTGATATATATATATATATATATATATATATAACACACACATATGTATATACTCTGTGTGTATGTGTTAAACTTGAATATCAAAAATAGAATATTTTGAACAATTTTTTCATTTGAAAAATGAAAAACTTTTGGAGACCAAAATATTTAGATTATAGAAAATATGACAGGAATTTGTGCAATTGAATAAGACACTTTTATATGTACAAAACGTTACTTTATTATTGACAAAATAAAAAAAATAGCATGTTTCCTAGAGAATCCATCTTGAAAAGGGACAAAATCTTTCTTGGGGCTTCTATTTATGTGACACAGAAAAAAAAAAAAAGATCAGAATGATTATCTTTCATACAACCCAAATTAAACCTAACATATTTAACTCAAGTTAGTCACTAACAATACATGAAAAAACAATGAGATTTTCTCATATTTTTATCACTTAAACTTCTGCAAATTTGAAAAATCATAACATTCAAAAAATTGTCCAACTTTGGTTGAGATCTTTTTTTGTAGATTCAATAATTGGATTAAAACTTACTCTATAATCCAACTGAATTAATATCATCAGTAATCATGGGTCTCCAAAGAATAATGAAATCTGTCCCTGAACACTAAAATCAAACTACGATAGACTAACAGAGTAGAAAGTCTCACTGAAAAGATCTGATACACTTTCAATAAACACTCAAAAGAGAGGTGTCATTATTTCTGAGTGAAGAAAAGAATCTGAATAGATAAAGTTTCCAATACAAGTTTAACCATTAAAAACAAGAAGAAAACTAGAGAATTTACTCATAAAACATTAACTATTAATAAAAAGACAGGTAGTAGTAAATAGAAAGTTGTTATAAAGCTTCATCCCACTCTACAAACTTGTTAACATCCTGATAATAATTGTTAATTAGGATTTATTTTTAAATATTTTGAATAAAATGGACATGAAGTACCAGATTTTTCAATTCTGCAGAAAACAGAAATTAAATTCTCTTAAAGTAAAATTAAATTCTGTAAAGAAATCTTATCTTAAAATTAGTTTTGAAAGCTGTACTTCAGCAGCAACATTTTTATTCAAATATGTTTTATTGAAACTTAATAACAAATCTCAGACATTCTCTTCCACATTTCCAAATTAAAAATGTAGCCTTTACAACATTCATCAGTAGTGACAGACTCACCAACGTTCAGCAGGCAAATTCCTCAAGACAATCCAGAAGTCTTTTAAAGATTTCAAAATGCACAGGGACACTGAAAATTGTAGACCTGGAGTCACTCCAAATACTTACCAGAGACAAGGTGGTGGCATTTGATTCACACATTAAACTGCTCACAACACAAATCACTTTGAAATAAAAAGGACAACATAAAGATGGCACACCAAGTTTGCACTGCCACAAAATTTGGAAAACTTTTTCAACATCAACACAATCACCACTGGTTAAATTTTTTTTCTCATCATACCAAATGATGGCACCAAATATCCAGTAAGCTACACTGAAGCTAAATAGTCACATATAAGAATCTATAATCATTTGATTTCAATTCCAATTCCTTTAAGTCAACAACAGGAAACTGTTCTCGACATATTTCAACATACAGACAAAGCAAGATAAACTTCCAACGTCTTGACAAGGAATCAGCCAAATGAGAAATCTTGGCACACGTCTTTTCTTTCATAACATCCAATATTGCTAATCAATCTAGCATGAGTAAAACCTAAGAAGATACACTCAAAACAGACACATTGCTTGTCACCATTTCATTTGCAAGTAAAAATGGACAAAAATAAGTCACATTTATAGTAACAACTTTAAGAAGAATTAAAAGAAATTCATATCTTCATTATTCAAGAGTGCCTGCCAGTTTTGAGTGAATAAGAAAAATATTTTCATTCAAAATTCAAATCAGGCAATAAAGATACCAAATCTTTTCACAAAGTTCTCCAAACGGAAAAGTATCTTTAAACTGATTAGAAAATCATTACATCTCTAAAAACAAATGTCGAATAGAATCTATGTTGTTGCTGTTGTTGTTGTTGTTGTTTTTCTTCTTCATAGAGGTAAGTTTGTGTAACTAATTTTGTTCTCTTAGGTTTTAAGACAAACTTCACAATCATTTGCATCATACTGACAATTTTTCAGCTACAAACTATTTCAGTGCAGCTCAACAGTTAGGCAGCCATTTCTCAGATTCAAGTCAGTTAAGAACAAAGTGTACCACCTTCAACAAAACATTACTTTTTCTATTTGCATCAAATGATGCGATTTATCTTTTTCCAGGAAAAATATATTTATGAAAATAAAGACATTTTTCACATTAAACACACGCATACATTTTTTTTTTAAAAAAAAAAAAAAAAGAAAAAAAGAAAAAAAAAAGTAAGAATCCTCTTGTCAGCACGCACAAAACACAAGACCTTCATGCATTTTAAATTTATTTACTTTCTACAGATCAGCTCCCATTCAACACACAAAAGGAGACATCCGTCACCCATTCAACAATGTTGATTCAGTTTGTTCACATCCGTCATGCTTGCATCAGTCTGTGCGTGCAACCCACTGGCAACAATTTGCCCTTTACTGTGGTCACCCATCACACAACTAGAAGTTTTACTGACCCAGACCAGAGCTACCTTTCATTCATTTTACCACCTTTAAATAGGTCAAAAAAGGAAGGAAGAAGGGGGGAGAGAGAGTGAGAGAGAGAGAAAAAAGGTGGGGAGTCATTATGAGAAACTGAATGGATGGGCAGGTGGGTGGTTTCTTCATTAACAGGCAGCTTGTTTTTATTATTTGGAGGTCTTTTCTTTTTCCCCATTTCTTTCTAGAGATGATCAAACAAATAAGGGATGGGAATGTACTCAAAGTCAACACCCAACAACTCTGTATTTAGTGTAAAGATACTTTTGAATGTCACCAAACCAAGACATTCATTCAAACCACATGGGTTACTAGGGACAGAACAAGTGAGTTCAAATTAAACTCTAAAAGGATAATATGAATTTGACATTTTTATATCAGCAAAAAGTAATCATCTGAGTCTAAAGAGAGGAAATATTAAGTCAAACAAAACAATAACAAAAAAAAACCAAAAAAAAAAAACCCTCATCAATTCATGCATTAATTACTACTTAATAATAGTATGAGAAAATTGGATACAAAATTATATTCATGAAATGAACAGTAAAAAGACTTAGTTTTATTGTTCAATTAAGAGCCCTAAATAAATATATTTGCTCATATGATAATTTGGTTGCTTTTATCAGAACATTATGTGAATCTATCAGGGAATGGTGAAAATTTATGATAAATGTATGGTGAATTTATGTATATTCTGTTCATCTAAAATTTAGATATTTAATTCCATCCCCCACTATGTTTAGAATGAGGACCACCTCGATGCGAATGCCCATGGCCATTTTCTGAAGGACCATCCCATCCATGATAATTATTATTTGGACCATTTCGATAATGAGTATTGCCATGGTTATTAGACTCTCTGCTACTGCCACCCTGACCCATGCCAAATGAACCCCAGCCCCCTGAGCTACTGAGGACAGCCTGTGCAGCAGCCAACATCGCTGGGAAGTTTCCAAAATTCATTGGTGGACCATTCATATTTCCAGTCTCGTTGCGATTTCCTTGGTTCCAGCTACTCTGGCCATAACCAAAGTTGCCTTGGGACTGGTTACGCCGATCCCAGTTGTTTTTGTGCTTATCCACAGGCCTCGGCAGTGCATTGCTCACATGAACACTCACATTCTTTACAATGTGATCTTCACCACACAGGTTCTGAGCCACATCAGGGTCAGAGAAAGTGACAAATGCAAATGCCCGGAATGGCTTAGGGATGAGGACATCAATGACTTCTCCAAATTGAGAGAAATATTCATGAAGATCATTCTCGGTCATATCCTCTGTACATCGTCCTACAAAGACTTTGCTGTTCACTTGTTGTTGATTGCCACCCTAAAAGATTGAAATAAATAAAAAATTTATAAAGTAAATAAATCTTAAAAAAAAAAAAAAAAAAAAAAAAACAGATTTTCCAATGATCTTACTACATAAAAAGGTAACAATTTTTTGTTTTCTCATATTAAGTAAACAAACATGTAAAATTAAATAAACCTTGCCCTGATGAAAGCCTCCAACTTGGAAATAAGCAAACAAGTAACACAGCAACTGTTAAACTATTCAAGTAAAATTAACTCTTGAATGTTAAGAGCTTTTTTAATTTTTTAAAATTACTTCACTAAGCAACTTATTTTTTTAAATAATATTGAAAAATTAAACTCATTTAAAAAATAAACTTCATATGCACCCCAAAAGAAAAAAAAAAAAAAAAAAAAGACAAATAAATTCAATATTTTCTTTGAAGTTTTATGACATTTTAACAATCATTACTTCAAAGCTTAAAATCTGACAGCACTTTATTTTTCAAATAAAAATTTTCATTATTATTTTAGGATTTTAATTTCATAGAAGAAATAAAATATTTTTTATATGATGAATGTATTTTTTTTTAACTGTGCCATGATTTTTATCAAACTATTTTTTCTGCAATATTGGAGTATTTTTAAAATTTTTCACTAATTCTAATTCCATAACTTTTTGAATTTCTATTACATTTAATGGAAGAGCCAATTAATTTTATTTTTATTTCAAATGAAAATTTTCCTGATAAAAATCTGCCTCGTCATGTATCAAAAGTTACATGATACATGACGAGGCAGATTTTTTCCTGCAGTAGGTTGCCATTTCTTTCTGCAGTAGACCAGCTGCCATCCAAGGCTATAAAACCTGGTCTGTCCTGCTATTTACCCATAGCTGGGGAGGGGGGAAGAAGAGTATTCATAACTTTCCCAAGGGTATTAGCACGTAATTGAATGTAATGTAGTCAACTGGAATTCGAACTTGCCTCTCAGGTTCCTCATGTTAAATATTAACCATTACAAAAAAGTTATAAATAAAATTTCATTTTTCACTAGTTTTTGTACTTCATCTAATGAATCAAATTAGATATAAAAGAGCAAAATTTCACATTTCCTTTTGAGCATATAACCAGCTTATTTCAAAACAGTTAAATTAGAAAGTGAAAAAAATACATCAAATATAACTTATTTCCTGAGAAATTTTCTAACAATTCTCTTTATCTTGATATTATGAATTTTAGTCAGCTTGTTAGGTTTCCTGATAAATAAAATTTCTGTGAAATTGAAATTAACCTGCAAAAAAAAATAAAAAATAAAAATAATATTTGGCCCTCAGGCTTAAATAGTAGTAGCAATAAAAAAAAAAAAAATAAAAAAATAATTAAAATCAGATTTAATTTTAATTTTCAAAACAACTTATTCAACTTACCTTAGAATTTGGTATTCTCACATCACACCATCTGCCATCAATCCGATGTCTTAAATTTAGGCATTTTAGTTGAGATTCATAATCTTGAAATCTGACAAAGCCAAATCCTTTTGATTGGCCAGTTTTCAAATCTTTCCTGACCTGAAAAGTAAAGAAAAATAACCAATTGTATTAGGATACAGAAAAACTAATCCCAAATTAAGATTTTAATATTCTGAACATAAATACAAGAATTACAACAGAGTTTAACTAACAATTTAATGTAGGACACAGATCAGAGTTATTTCCCAATACACATGTTTGTGCAGATACAGTTTTTGATTAATATATACATTTGTTGTAAAGTTATCTTATTTTGGGGAACAAAAATATTATATACAAAAAAAAGAAATTGAATGAAAAATATTTTCATAATCTGAAAAAAATAAAAACACTAATATAAATGTCACAAAAATCTTTCTTTTTTTTTATCAATATATTTCATAATTTGCAGTTAGAGTTTAATAATAGCATTTTTAAACATGTTAAAGATTTAGAGAAACTTTTAAAGTACACTGTCCTAGAAGAGGTGCATTCAAAAAGTATCAGACTTTATTTTTTCCTGCCAAACCTAGCAAGTGAGAAATGACTCCACCATTCCTGCACATATGAGAAATTTTTTGCACAAAGAGGCCATGTCAGATCCTGGCTGTTATGCCTAGAGTACAAAAGTGCAGTGCATACTCGTCAGATTTTCATTTTCCCACAGAATGACTGAACACATCAGGCAGAGATATTGCATCAAATTTTGTCAAAAGCTTGGTGGAAAGCAAAACATGCTCATGCAGATCATACACAAGCCATCAAAAGAAGTTGTTTGAGAAGGTTCAGCAAATATTCATGGTAGACCATCATGTAACAATTCAGGAAATTGCTCATGAAATGAGAATATGCACAGGATTAGTGCATTCCATTTTAATGGAGGATTTGTGCATGTGGTGAATGTCAGTGAAATTCATCCCCAAGGTGCTGGAAGAGCAGCAGAAGCAACACTGCATGGAAATTGCTCAGGATATGATGGACTATGCAAACCATGACCCAAACTTAATGAAGACCATCACCATGGATGATGAGAAATGGGCTTATGGTTACAAACTCAAAACCAAATTCCAGTCATCCCAATGGAAGCATCCATCACCAAAGGCCAAAAATCACAATTGGTTTGCAGCAATGTGAAGGTAATGTTAACCTGTTTCTTTGACTCCCATGGTATTGTGTATCACAAACACACACCACAAGGCCAAATAGTCAATAAGGTATACTACCTGGAGGTTATACACCACCTCCATTGATGCTATGTATTGAAAGCGGCTGGTCATGTGGATAGCAAAGAACTGGCATCTTCATCACGACAATGCGTCTACTCATTCTGACCACATAATCTAAGCTTTCCCGGTTAAGAACAACACACTACTTGTTCGACAGGCTCCCTACTCAACACTAATGTGACTTCTGGCTCCTCCCCAATCTGAAAACCACACTGAAAGGGAAGTGTTTTTTCCCACAGGAAATTTTGAGAAAAGTAATAGCAGAGCATTCCAGAAGTGTTACCAGCAGTGGAAGAAAAGCTGGGAGAAGTGTTTAAACTCCCAACAAAGGAGGTATTTTTAAGTGGATTAAATAAAATTTGTGAAATGTACAAAACTGATTTTATTTTTCATGTTCAAAAGTCAAATAATTTTTTTGAATGCACCTCATATAAATCTCTGTTGTATAAGATTTTATCTAAGCATAATCACTTTTGCTCAAATAGTACAAAGGAAAATTAACTTCAATTATACATGTTATCCAATGGCTAAAATTTATAATTCTGTTCATTATTGGTAAATAAATTAAACCAAAAGTCAAATAGATGCAAATAAGATAATAAAAATATAATTCCAAAAATAAGATATTTAAATAGAAAAATTTTAATCTGAACATTAAATATGGTAAAATATTTAAACATCCTATAAATTGTTAATACATTCAACTTCAACAGTCCTAATTTGCTGAAAGCTAAATGATAGTGTTTCTTCAGTTGTGCTGTATATGCTGGAGAGAGCTTGCAAGTTTCTTTTACAAGTTTTCAAATTCTAGAAAACTATGTCATAGTATAAACAGACAACCTTATAAAATCAAAACCTATAATTTTCATTCATCTCTCTCTTGATGTGCCATGTTATTTAGGATGTGGCATTTATGGTCCTCCAAAGGTTCCTTTTGAGAATACTTGCTCCTTTAAAACTCTTGTTTCTGTGGTTCTCATTCCTCCAATTTTTTGCAAACTTGTCAAATAAGTTACCAGCTACTTTGTCTGAATCTCAAGCATTCCTTCCTCATGTATCTTTTTCCAATTGTTATCAATACTTTCCTTGTAGTTCGTATTCTCCTTAAAACCTTGTCATATGCACTGCACAGGATATTCAACATTCATTGGTTATTATTTACAATCAGACTAATATTCTCAGCTCTGTTGTTATCCGAAAGTTTCAGCCACTATACCCTTCAGCCTTCAAAATCAGATGGTCACTTTATGATCACTTCATTTGTGATTAAATTGTCCAGTACTGATTGCCATATAGATTTGACATAGCATGGTTCTTAAAGTTGATTGTTCCACGAAGGTTGCATTCATTTACATCTGATTTCTTGTAGTATTTTACTGCTATTATTTCATTTATCATTTAGATAATTTTTTCAATCTCAAAAATTTCTAAAGCTGTCAAAATTTCTCATCTGGTTATGTTGCATTGTTTTACTTCATCTTGGCCAGTACCATGCTTACTTCAAAATTTAGTGTCTTGAGTTCTTCTATATTTTTGTATATTCTAGGTTTCTCTCCTCTCTTGTAAGTCTTACCACTGCTGTAGCACCTTTTCTTAAGCCATTATTTTTCTTCCCTCTTTAGATTTTATACATCCAGGCAAAGAACATATTTTCTGCCTTGTTATGTATCTACTCCACTTTGCATATTTTCAATTTACTTACGACTTTTTTGCACTTATATCTCTTACACCTTGTTCAAAAGTAATCATCTGAGTCTAAAGACAGGAAACATTATGTCAAAACAAAAATGCCTAATCAATTCATGCATTAATTACTATTTAATAATAGTATGAGAAAATTGGATACAAAATTATAATCATGAAATGAAAACTAAAAAGACTTAGCTTTTATTGTTCAGTTAACATTAAAAAAATTTTTAGCCAGGAGAAATAAACTACATCTAATTTCAAAATTTAATTACATAATCCCAACTCAACATAAATAAATAGTATTTGGAATGAGTATAGAGTAAGTCCTCCATTAGCTAGTGTCAGTGCTTGTATTCAATTTTTCATGGATTTGATCAAGTTAACAACAATCATCTGATCCATATTTTGCCACTCCTTAAGGGCATGATTTTGGTTGCACACTCTTGATATTTTCTGTCAAGGTGCTCCCAAAATGTGCTCTATTGGATTCATGTCAGGATTTTAAGCTACTCATTGTAGTATCTTTATTCCTTGCGATCCCTTCCAAGACTTTTCTACTTTGCTCGTGACATGGCACTCCATCTTGAAAAAGGCAGACATTCTTGTCAATCTGATTGGTTTCAAATATTGGGAGTAGTCCTTTCTCTAATATTTGACAGTATTTTGGACCATTCAACCGCTTGTCAACAAGAATCAGCTCAGATTTCCCTCTAAACCAGACAGCAGCCCACACACCATTACTTCAACCCCTCCATGTTTCATGGTTGCCTGCAAACAGTGTTCCAAATCTCATTCCAATTTCTCCAAATTCATCTGACCAAATTACAGACTGCCAAAATTCATAATCTTTGCTCTTGAATTCTCTCACTTAGTCCATACGGAGGTACCTGTTAACTTCTGAAATCAAGGGCTTCTTTCTTGCAACTCTTCTTTGATAGTCTAGTTCTTTCAGAGTTTTTCTCACCGCATATGGTGATATTTCCATGCTGTTAGTGACATCTTTGATGCTCTGACAACGTTTGTCATGACTTCTCTCTTCAGCGCCCTTTTTGTTCGCTTAGACACTATGCTTGGATCTTCCTGAACGTTGTTCCACACGACAATGGCCTCCTTCATTAAAACACTTGACAATATTATTAACCATTTGATGATTAACCTGGAAAAAAAAAAACACAGCAATTTCTCTATTTGACTTCCCACACTGATGCCACCCTATTATTTACCCTCATTGAAATTCACCAATTTCCTTACTTCCATGGACTTTCATTGCAAAATGTAAGTCAACTATCATTCATGAGAGTAGCTTGATACTGACATGATATTGTCTGAAAAAAAAAAAAAAAAAAAAAAAAAAGTTATTACACAAGCCAAAATTGCTGTAATCAAGAGTAACTAAAAACTTATCATAGCCCACTGTATATACTCTGTACCTTTCCTTTGGATTATGTTTTCTCACTTTCATAAGTTTGAGAATTTTACAGCTTCATACTTGTTCCTGTGAATAAATTCATGTGCTTACTTGAGTAATAAAATGTCATAATCTTGAGGAGCTGGCCAAATCAGCATACCATAAAAGATGAGGGGTGACTTTATAACAACTTGGAACAACCTATAACAATGAGATTGTCTAATGTTCTGCTAGTAAAAACAGAATAGACTAATTCAATCTCACCACTACTCTCATCATTGAACAGATTCTAGTCTGTTTCTATCAAATGCCTTAATAAAAATCATTCAGTATAAGATATGTAATATATTATAGCTACTAATGACATATTTATATTACCAAAGAAAAAAAAAAAAAAAAAAAAAAAAGAAAAAAAAAGTGAACAAAGCATATCAATGGATGTTAATACATCAGGTAAAAGAAATAACATTGATGAGTAAATAAGTAATGGAAGGGAAGGAGAAATTTGAATTAAATGAATATTTATAAAATTGTTAGTACAGATAGAAGTGGTTAAAATAAATTTTTTGTTTGCATAATTTCAAAAGAATATAAAATAGTACAAAAACTAATAAAAAAATTGAAAATTAATCTTTATACTAGATGCTCAAATAAAATTATCTACTGCCTTTAGAAAAGTTAAAACCAAACAGTTAATATTACCTGTACCATAAGCAGCTCTCCAAATTGTGAAAAATATTTGCGCAAATCATCTTCTGTACTTTTCCAAGGTAAACCTAGTACAATCAAGTCTTGACATTTCTTTTCCAATCGTTTTGTCTTTATAGCTGAGTCGTCAAATTCATCATCATCACTTTTTCTCTTGTTATCTAAAAGAAACAAAAATAAACTGGTTTTTCAAAATCTTCAATACACTTCATTTGATGAAGAGAAAGAGCACTTCTTAGAAAGGTGTACTGAAAACTTTTGCACGAACAAGAAGGGATCCCAAAAAAACTGTTTTGTCATATTTTGGAGGAGTCATGCCAAGAACTTTAAAGTAAGCCCCAGAAAAATCTTAGAAACAGTTGCTTTATGTTTTCATTTTATTTATTTTTGGTCATGGCTAGTTTACTATGCTACACTAGATTGAAGCAAGATGGATTCATACCTTTACCGAGCATATTTGCATGTAAGCGAATGCAATAAACCCAGCCAGAATATAAACTTAGCTCTGATTTCCCATTCCATTATTCATTATACTACAATGCACGTACATATCCAAAAATAACATATCTAATGTAAGTCATCTACTTCAGAGAATTTGTCTAAATTAAAGAGAAACAAAGAGGGTGCCTTGAGTTTAATAAGTAATGATGTTATGAATGGCACTATGGTTCAGTTAGAAAAAGAGACTATCAACTAGTTTTATAAGAAAAACACTTTCTGTTAAACTTTACCAAATTGCAAAAATTCAGTTAATATTTGATTATAAGAAAAAAAAATGTATTAATAGTTGAATTCAAATTTTATTTTGCAAATTAAGCAAAAATATTAAAAATATCGAAATTTGGGTATAAATTTCCAGTTATTTTCTAATTTACAACAACTTACTAATTCATTTTATAACTTAATTGCAAAATGCTATAGTGTGGCCAAAATATTTGTAAAAAAAAAAAAAAAAAAAAAAGCTTTTTTATGATATTTGCAGTCTTTCACGCAAGAATTTAAAACCTTTCATCATTAAAATAACTTTGAAAAGACCAAAATAAATCATAATCCATGGGTGAAATACCTGCTGATTGTAGATTCTTCTGAATGAAAATTTCCTAAGTTTTAGCTTCATCCCAATCTGGAAACATTATTCCCTTTCTCTTAAGTAATTGTGGATCTTTTTCATGTCAATTGCTACCTTCAATTGGTTTAATTGGGAGCAGTACTTGTTTGAATTGTTTGGTTTTCAAGACAGAGCCCGTAGTTGAAGACATCCTTCTCATACTATCATACTTCTTTGGATGAAGTCTAGTTTTTGTTATGGTAAGTTTTGCTTTATTTTACTTGCCCCACTAATATGTTTTGCTTCATGTTGTACAGTATCCACTTAGCAATGCTGATAGGTTTTAAAGGTAGCGTGTCTCAACTAAAGATTCTTAATAAGTTGTAGTGTTAAACTGGAGGGCTCCAAGTTTTTTACCACCATCACAAAAATAATTTTAATCATTCTGAATCACTTAAACTGGCAGAACAATTGTTTTTTAAATTGATAGAAGTTTTTTTTTTCAAAATGACAGAGTAAAAAACATTAAATTATGAACCTTCCTTCAAAAAATTTAAGTAATCTCTCTTGAATCAGCTTACAAATATGAGACTAATCAATCAGAGAGACTCCCAACTTTCACATCTGTATGATACAAAATCCAAAGACATTTTTTTTCTGTAACAACATAAATAAAAATAAAATATCAAATAAAATAGGTTAGTATGCTGCATGTGAATAAAATATTGCATAAATTCAAATAAAAAAAATGTTAACTATAATGCCTAAGTCACTCCAAAATAAATTAATAAAATTATTAATTTTACATGAAAACATTTTCATCACCTTGACAGAATCTACAAACTGTCACCAAGATCTTTTAATCTGAAAATAATCAAATCAAATGTGATTTTAATTGATAAGAAAATTAAATCGCTATGAAACATTAGCACAACAATGAAATTTAACTAAAACAGTGGAAAGTGTGTTGAGAAATATCAAACGATATAAGTATATTTGTAGTGTATTACGAGTAGATTAATGTAAATAAACTCAATAGCATTTTTCAATAATTACTTGTAATTTCATAGTGTACAGTTTTCACTGCTTGACCCCTTTTCCATTTGGCCTCTTCAAAAGGGAACTGACCTTTTGGGCCCCAGGTTGACCTCAAGGACTCTTGATATTCTTAGGACATCCTGTTCTAGAGCAAAGAAACCTGATTCCCAAACAGCTCTATGTATAGTGGCCAGTTGAGCAAATCTTATCTTTCAAACAAAATTAAAACCTCAAAGAAGTTATTACAATATATAAAATTTGAAACCCCAGGAACAAAGATTATTTGTTCTTTTGTTGTGGTTAGATACATTTAATTTTAACTACATTAAAAAAGATTGCTTTTAAATGCATTGTGATTGCTATCACATCAGCATACATGAAAAATAAAATAATGTCCAAATTATTAAAATGCCAATAATAAAAGTGTTGACATTTAAAAGAAAAGTTTTCTAAACATTCAACAGTAAAATTAGCAAATGTATCTACAATGTTTCTCAATCTTTGTCATTTTTCTTTATTTATAAATGACAGTGAGTATATATATATATATATATATATATATGGGATAAGTACCTAGTATTATATAGGACACCTCTAACCTGGTGAAATGCATTAACATCAATTGCATAAGTAGTTGGAAGACCTCTGGCAAGATGTTGAACCATGCCATCTTAATAGCTATTCCCAGCTCTGATATTGGTAGTACAGGACCTTGCATGCAAACAAGCCTCTCCACCATATCCCATAAATGCTCAATTAGGCTTTTGTCAGTTAAAACATGGTAACTGTACATTGTTGTTGGGGTATATAGAACCCTTGAGAGGATGAAACAATGCAATGTAGCAGTCACTAGTGAATGTCATGTTTAGGTAGATTAGCAGAGTCACAGTTTGGTGTGTTGGGTGTTAAAAAATGCATTCCAGTAGTTTTTTTTGTTCCTGTATCCCATGGGTGCAAAAGAACAATGAATTGACCTGCTGGATATGCATTTGTTATATCCTTCATTAAATGTGGTTGTAATTTAAGCCAATGTTGTTTGTCTATTACTGCAGACAAACCAGACACCTCTGGTCATTATTGTCATTCACTATACTGTCCAAGTGAGTGGTAATGGCTCCCATCTTTCCAATAGACACAACACCATAGATTAAGATATGTCAAATGGCTGAACAATTTCAGAAATGGAATGTCCCATTTATCTGGCATAAATTATCATGTCCTGTTCAAACTCCCATAATTTCCATCACTTTCATGAGCAGCCTAACACGCATTTAGAGCACAACCAATATAAATCTGGACCTTTCTATGATGCCAAGGTATGGTGGTACCCTTTACCATTACATTCTGCTAACCCATGACTTTTGGCACGTCAATATACATATGTGTACATGCTTATTAGATGAGGTTTCATTTTTAGCTAATTCTATATCCTTATTGGACTTTGATTTTGTAAAATTATTGCAAGTATTGATATAAGAATTCATGATCTGATGATCATAAAAAAGAAAAAATTCATATCAGTCTTCAGCTCCATATTTTATTCTCTAAATCTAAACTTAATTTAATTATTATGTAAAAAAAAAAAAACGAAACAAAAAAACAACGGTTTTACTAACTACACTCAACTGAAGTATATGGTATCATTAAGAAGAAATTCTCATTGCTTAGAATGTCTGTATTCACAATGATACAAATAGTTATAGATTCATAACGTCACAACTAAATTTAAAAAAAAAAAAAAAAAAAAAAATATAAGTAAAATTCTTATTTGAATATTCTGCATTCATTTCCAGATTTTCCACCTTATTGCTTACAAATTTGAAAAGACCAAAATGCAAACATGGTTGCATTTTTTTGGACCTTTGGTCTTTTCAAATTTGTAAGCAATAAGGTGGAAAATCTGGAAATGAATGCAGAATATTCAAATAAGAATTTTACTTATATTTTTGTTATTAAAAATTTTAAAAGTTCTAAAATATTTAAAATTAAAAAGTTCTCTAAATAAAATAAAGAAAGATTAACAATGTTATTGTTTACTTATAGATAATTATATTTCCACTTAATTTAATTTCAAGAAAATCCAAAGCAGATTTTCCATACAAATTAATTTCTTTTCCTTTGATACCAATCTATAACACTAACAGTTGAACTGAAAAAATATTAAATAATTCTGATATATTATTGTCCTCACTTTAGTTAGACTTTAGTATCTAATTTTAAAACTAATGACAGCATTAACAAAAATAAAATTATAAACAATTTTGATATTTCAAATACAGTGATTTTTTTTAACTTAATTTTTAACAGTAGCTTTTGTTGTAAACGGGTTTTTAGACGGTTATTGTTAGTTACAACAGTGTTATTTATTTCTGTGCAATGTTATTCAACTTCGTATTTGTTTACCAGAAAATTAAAAAATTGGATAAAAATATAAGTTTGGAATAGCCGACAATAATAATCTACAAAGTCAAAGATTAATTTAATTTAAGTATTTTTAAAAAATTAAAATCATTGGAAAAATCAAATTCAAAGTTTGATGATTTTTTTTATTTTTATTAGCAAAGTTCACGAAAAAAGAAAAAAAAAAGGCCTTTCTTTAGTGACTTGCTAAATTAGTAAATTGCATTGTTAATAATTCGACACTGAAATGTGGTTGACAAGAAATAAAAAAATTAAAATAAATTAATTTTTTAAAAACATTTTCATTATTTAATGCAATAAGAAGTGGCTTGAATTTTGTAATTTGAACCTTTGCAATTAATTTTTTTTAAGTTTGAGAACATTATCAAGTTTTATAATAATTTCATTAAATAATCTTATTCTTAATAAATTAAAAATCTAAGATTGGGACAGGATTTTTTTTCAGTTTTCTGAAATTCACATTTTCTGAAGTTTCTCAGACTAACATTGATATAGTTTTTTTTTTAATTAAAAAAAAAGCTTGATGCATAAAGGAAGAAAGGCTAAAAACCTTTGTCACTAAGACTACTTTATTGATTCATATGTTTAAGTGAAAGCGTGGATAATGACTTAGGAATTAATTCGTTCAGCACTTTTTAGACGTAAAGATTTCAAAGTTATTTTTCGATTTTTTAAAAGAAAAAAAAATAACTAGTAATTTTTTTTTTTGTCGAGTGCTGAAGTCACATTTTGTTTTTTAAAGACCCACAGCCGCTTTTTTTTTTTTTTTTTTTTTTTAAAAAAAAAAAAAAAAAAACATCCGCTATTTTTCTCTCTAACGGGAATTTGTTTACCGTACATGTAAAAATAAAGCTGTCAGAAAAAAAGTTGTTTTTTTTTTTATTATTTATGAAAAAGAAAAGCATCACATGATCAAAATATTCTACCACAAGTCCACAACCTATCAATAAATAATCCCGGAATTGAAATAATTTCAAAATTTATATTTTAGTCTGTATTCCATTTATTTATGAAACCTTTTTCTTTGCTGTTGTAAGGATTCGTTTTGATATATTTCTATGATCAAGATATAAATAAAAAAATGGTTATTATGTTTTTAAATACACTAGACAGCTAGTTGCAATATTGATCAAATGAATTAAGGCGAAGTATCTTTAAAGAGAAACATGCATGGAACTTATACTTGGAGTAGTGACTTTAGTTTAAAATCAACAAGTTTTCGATAACTTCATTTAAATTTCAAGATTTAAATGTGAAGCGTACAAAAAAGTATTATTGAACTTCAATAAATACACATTAATTTCTATTTTTTTTTTTTATAAATGAAATAGAAATAAATTTACTTCAAAAATAAATTTAAGTTTGTTAACATTGTTTAAATATCGAGAATTGACTGAAATCAAATAAAAACTGATATTGAAAAAAAAATTGCTTTTTTAGTTTAAAAGAGAAGACAACTCGGAGAAATCACTTTTTCGAGTAGAAAATCTAAGAATTTAATTTTTTATTATAATATATATATATATATATATATATATATATTGTAAAATATTGTAAACTGAACATAGATCATTTTATTTTAAGGGAATAAAAACAGATTAAAAAAAAAAAAAGTATCATTACTGTATGAACTGACTTGTCGATTTTTTTTTTAAGTAAAACCACTTGTAACTTACTGAAAAATGCAAGAAAAAAAAAAGAAGAAATATTTGAATTGCTTACCTTTTGAGAAAACAGTGTAGAAAATATGACTTTCCCAACCTTCTTCGGGAGGATAAAGATGTCCATTACATAATCTTAGGGCCCGGAATCCACAAGTCATCGGGTTTCGAAACTTAAGACCACACGCTCCTGGGAATTGGGCCGACAATGTAGTTAATAATAAAGTACCGTTATGTTCAGATGGCAGCTCAATGGGTTCAGAATCTTCATCTTTAATCACCTGAATATATCGAGTCATTTTTATCTTTCCTGCTCAATCGCTAGAAATGATCCTAATTGTAAGAGATCAACTATAAAATAAAAACCTGATCGTAATTGTGTTAAGATAAATTAAACACCACACCGTTATGGCGTCCTGTATTATGGCATGCTGGGAGCATTAACAAAAATATCGCGAGTATTTTTTTTTGTATTTTTTTTTTAATATATATATATATATATATTAAAATTATTATATTAATAAAGGAATTGAATTTAAACAAATAAGATAAAGTGCATAAGGTGTTTAATTATTAAGCAAAAATAATAAAAGCGAAATATTTACTTGAATATATCTTTACGTATTAATGTCTTGGTACCTAGCAACATAACAACAATGTATGAATGAACGGAAATGACGTCAAATTGTCTTTTTAGTAATCGAAATTGCAAACTTTATAAAAGATCATTTTTTACTTGTATTATAATTTTTTAAATAAAAAGTAACATGAGGGAAGGTATTAGGTCCTAAATAAATGTTATAATCGTATATATCGAACTTTTATTTTAAAAATTAGCCACTAAAAGTAAAAAAAAAGTGTTATTTTTTTTAACAAATTTTCAGTTTGCATGCGTTATTATTTGCTATCTTATTCCATTTATTCTTTTTTTAGTTAGTTTACAACTTGTTCAAAGGCAACACGAGTGAATGTTTGAATAGTTAAAAAATTAATAATACTTTGTGGTTTTAATCTACACGAGCTTAAAAATCAAAAAATAGTTTTTTTCCCCCTGAAACAAATCTGGTGTAAGTAAAAAAAACGTTAAGTTAGTTTAAAAAAATCATTAAAACAAATAAGTGAAAACCGTATGTGATCTAAGATGAAATGTCATTGTATTATGTAAAAAAAAATTTTCTTTAATATGCAGATGGAATAAATAAAAAGACAGAATTGTGTACACAACTGTAAGTAACCTGTTGTTTGATGGCTGTAAAAAGTAGTTGTGTGCTTCGTAACCTCATCACCAATATGTGAGCTAATAAAAACAAAAAAATGTCAAATGCTGATTTTCGAAGTAGGCAATTCTTATACTTCTTCTTGTGAGACTAGCAAAACATTTATCCGTACCCCATTTAATATTTTTAGACCTTTCTGTAGTAAGTACCAAACTAAGCAAACACGCAGTATCTAAGCACGAGAAACATTGTTTCTAAAACATCTCGTTTTCAGTGTTTCCATAGATTAACTAATTTCTGAATTCAAATTTTTAAAAATAGAAAGGAATTAAATATTTTAAACATGCTGTCTGAAAAGAAAATCATTTGCAATAGTTACTGCAATTCACAATTCAAGATTTATTTTTATTGCATAAAAACGGCTTTTTGAGCGATGTGTTCCTGAAAAATGCAAGTGTAATTATTAGTGATGTTTAGAAAAACAGGTGATTTTTATTCATTCTGGAAAATTAAAAATGGAAATTGATAATTGAAATGAAATGTAACAAAAATAAATGTCAGAAACAAAACAAAAAATGACAGTTATTAAAATTCATAAACAGCTTTTTAGTTTTTACCAATTCTTAAATTAGGGTTTTTCGAAGTGTAAAGTTTTACAATTTCGTAGAATTTTAAAATTACTATTTTTTTTAATTTGTTTCTATTTCCTTGTTTATTCTGAAAATAAAATTAACTTTGGTTATGAGTGTTCATAGTCGTTCAACAACACCAGCGAAATAGTGGTGTTGATTATAGGCTTTAAAGAAGTTATTTCCCTTAAGTCAGGAAGATACAGAGCCAGTATTTTCATTTTTAGCTGTTAAATTTTCGATTGTGATAATTTTTATTACGAGTTACTTTGTTGCATATATTTATTCAAAATCCCTAACATTTTTTTAAAGCAAAAACTAAATTTAAAAAAAGAAACAAGATTTATTTCATTTCTTCAGTTCTTGGTTGCATATTCATTTTTTTTCTAATTTTTAAAATTTCTAAATTTTTTTTTTTATTTCTGATTTGTGATTCCTTCACTATGCAGATGTAAGTCTGGTTACAAATATTGTAACTACTTGGATTTAATTATTACAAGGAATATTATTTTTTCCACTTTTGTCTTCCAACTTAAAGTTAAATCATAAATTTGGAAAAATAAAACAAAAAGTATGATAATTCTTCATCTTAGAAACTATGAGATGAAGTAAAAAATTGTCTTTTCTTAAAGAGAAATTGAGATAGACTTTAAGTAGGTATGATTTATACGTGTTTTGAGTCTATGCTGAGTGACATTAAAAAACATTATTTAAACTATCAGCCTTTTTCAGTTTTAAGTTCCCAGTAACTTTTCAGGTCTTTTCCGTGAATAGCAGAATATTTTTTAACATTTTTTTAAATTGCCTATTTGAATTTATTATTTTTTCAATTTAAAATTTTAATCTTGATATCTTTCTTTCTGCATCAATTCTTGGCCATTTTTTGATAAGGAACGGAATTTAAGTCAAGTTGCGTGTGTTTCCGCCATTCTGATTTTTGCGAGTTGTTTGTAATTATACAGGGTGATCCGAAAGTCTTGTCACCTCTACATATATATTTTTTTTTTTTATTTCAGATGGCTGACACGAGCTCCTACAGTTTAGAAGAGAGGTTGCTTGCCAAGTGTATGGATATATGATCGTAGCAAGAGCACGGAGGATGTGCGACATGACGTTGTATTACTTCTTGTTTTTTTTTTTTGGGGGGGGGGTGACAAGACTTTCGGATCACCCTGAATATTTACTGATACCATACTTACATTTTAATAACGTATATTTATATTTTTATTTACTTTTTAGAACTTCCAATTGTCTTTCCATTTGACAATGGTATGTTTTATTAAATTTATCTGACAAGGCCTGTCTATTTAATTTTTTATTGTATTTTTCAAATAAGTTTTTTTTGTACATTTAGATAAAAATTGTGAATAAAATAGCCAGTTAATTTTTGTTCTGTTTTATTCAAGTACTTTTGACCAAAGAATTGAATTCTGTCAGTGTGGCAGATTGCCAAAATTCAATAAAATATTTAAACAGATGTTAGTTGAATATTTATATATCTATGTGAAAGTGTCAGTGTGTCTATATGAAATTTAATTTTATTTAATCTTTTATACATAATCAAAAGAATCTTTGAGAATCCTTTGAAAGTAAATAAAAATATAGTTTAGTTTTACTTCCATATGATATTTTGTAATTGATTGGCAATAGTGTAAAATCTATGATTATATAATTCTTTTATTATGTAAGAAGACAGTGAAATATAATTTGGAAAAGAGTGTGAATGGATGTATTTGTACGTGTCTTGTTTGCTATGAAAAAATGTATGAAATGTATTTTTGCTCTGGTATGTTTTTGATACATCACTTATCATACTGAAACTTTGGTACAACTTTCTTAATTATGCTTTTGAGGCCTTTAAGTATCATATGATAGGCCACAGATGAGAACAGGAAATTGCTGTTTGAGAGTTCAAGAAGGACAATGCATTTTCCATGTGTCCTTAAAGTACCAAAGAGATACTACAGGTATTCTTAGGGACAGTACAAGTTCATCCCCTTCACATATTTCTCTATGTAGGACAATTTGTAACTTATATGAATGCATTGCACATTAGCATGGTTTAGTTATGTTTTTTATATAAATTGTTTTCATGTTTAACTCATTTTTGGAATTTATTTCTTTGGGTTATTCTATATCATTACATTTTCAAAAATGAGAATAAAAACATAATTTTTATAGTAATAATAATTTTTTAAAAATTGTACTGGATTAACAATAGCTTTTCATGCAAAGAGGTAAATGGGGGCAAGGTTGGTTTGTGTGAAAGGAACAATTTTTCTGTTTTGAAATGTCAACAAAAGGGTAAAAATTGCTTCAGCATTCACCTCAGGTTAATCTTGTTACTGTTAGCTAGGTCAGTAACTATAGCCCCAGGTTTTTTATTTTCAATACCTTGCAAGATTTCTATTCCCATTTTTATTTCGCTCCCAACAAGCAAAATATTGTAATAATAATGAAAAAAATGAAGACATTAGTCTAAAAGTAAACAATATAACATCTGTAAATAATGCCCATTAACAATAACCTTCACAGACCTACTTGATAGGAAAGACTTGATAACTGAGAAAACTATTACAGAGATTCCATAACTAGAGTGTGTGTGTACCAACCTCCCTATGTCATAACTTGTCAAAGGCCTTCACAATATCTAAAGGTGTTCCCGACATGTGTTTATTCTCAAGCATTTTACTGATCCTATACATGATGATATTTAAGACATCAGCAATGGAACTAGATGAGCATAATCCATAGTGTTTGTTGCTGAGGAGGTTGTTTCTGTTGAGGTGATCAACAACATTTTTGTTAATGACCAAAGCCAAATTTGAAACCAAAAAGCTTGAATCCTGCAAGTTATAGAAAATTGCAAACACAATTCTCAATAGAAGCAAACTGTCAATGCTTTTCATTAGAAATGGCACTGAAGTTATCTTATTTTTTCTTTATTAGTGTTCACCCTATACAAAACTCAAAGGCAACTCATGGTAGATGGTTACTGTGTGAGCAGTAAGAGTAAGGGTTCAGTTTATGTGGAAAAGATAACAGCTAATCCTTGTCAGATAAGGCCAAGCTCTTTGCAATGAACTTCATGTTAGATGACAAGGGCCACTCCTTACTTGACTTCTTCGACCTCATGGAACACAAACTTTGTGATCTCAATCTCAGTTGGGGAAGTTATCAGACTTATCAAAAGCTTTGACTCTACAAAGGCTACTAGTCAGGATAAAGTCCCTGTAGCTGTTCTTAAAAACCTTAACTCAGAGCTATCTCCAATCTTGGAAGACATAAAGTGCATGCCCTGTTTATAAGAATGTG